TCTCTGAGACTACAAAGTAAAACAGACTTACAGTCAAACTACTGTAACCGGGGCCACCCAGACAAAGTTAACCAATCACAGGGCAGAACGGGAACAATACATTCCAACATTTTTTAATTGAGCCAATCCGATGTCGAGTACAGAACAATGAAATTGCAACTTCTTCGTTCGCGATGAATACACTGTCAGATGAATGAAATTTTGTGCGGTTCTACGGCGTGGATTTTCGATTTCAACCCTTTTATATTTGACTAGTTTTAGCAGTACGATTTGGAAGTTAAAGATATGCGAGTCAATAAAAGAGAAACTCCAAACTGCGTGAAACTCCAAACTGGGAATGCGACGGTTGTACAGTATGTTTCCTCTCAGAATAAAAGTGCGTGGCGGATTTGAAATAATTTGTTTGCTCTTGAAAAATTCAAGTTTTCTCTACGGAGTCAACCACAGTGTTCAACCGGCTGAATAGCTACACTTGTCAGGGTTTTGGCAGTACCATTTGGAAAATAAATACACTTGACGCCAGCAAGGGAAGACTTTATATTCCAAACTGCATAAAGTCAGTGCACGCAATGGCCAATAGTTTCGGCAAAGTTCGTGACGGATTCAGTGAAAACAACGAAAGCACGGCTTGTTTACCAGCGTGATGAATTCAGTTCAGTTTTATACATTGTCGGGGTTTTGTTAGTACAATTTGGCTGAAATTAAAATAATAAGTAAAAGAGAAATTCAAAATTGCAAGAAGAGTGTCGGCTGTATATTTGAAGTTTCGGCAAAGTGAATCATGTGAATAGACCAATTTCGATATATTAATATAAATCACATCGAGGTTGAGGGATGAATAAATCATTTCTTTTGTTTTATTCCCCTAAACCTCGGAGCCAAGTTAGAATATTAATATATCGAAATTGGTCTAGCGAGAAAGAACTCAACCGCCGGAGTAGAATATTTGCAATTGCCGGCACAACCTCGATTCCAGGCTCTCTCTCCTTTTCCTCCCTTGTCGTTGAGTCTACTCAACGACGGTCCTCAACGACAAGGGAGGAAAAGGAGAGAGAGCCTGGAATCGAGGTTGTTGCCGGCAGAGTTTGAATCACATTTCGTAACGGCAAATTATTTCAGTATTACTGTTATTTCTGATCGCATGAGAAAGAAGCCAACTCAGTGCTAGCAGATCAAACACAGAGTCGCTTCGATCTTTCCTAGAAAATTCGGGACTTTTCCCTAGAACAGTCAGGACTTTTCTCGGAAAGATCGAAGCGATTTTACTAGCACTGAGTTGGCTTCTTTCTCAGTAATTTTTCCGAAAGGATTCGAAACAGTTTCGAAAGTTCAACGCAAAAAAGACAATAGTCATGCGATCAGAAATGACTGTAATAAAGAATTCGCCGTTACGAAACGTGATTCTGACTGACGGCAAAATATTCTACTCCGGCGGTTGAGTTCTTTCTCGCGACAATTCACTTTGCGAAACTTCAAATACATGTATACAGCCGACACTCTTTTTATGCAACTTTGAATTTCTCTTTTACATATTTTTTTAATTTCAGCCAAATTGTACTGACAAAATAAAACCCGGCGCGTGGAACAAGGTGGAAAAATCAAAGATCCGACAATGTATAAAAAACTGAATTCATCACACTGGTAAAACAAGCCGTGCTTTCGTTGTTTTCAAATCCGTCACGGACTTTGCCGGAACTATTGGCCGTCGTATGCAGTTTGGAATATAAAGTCTTCCCTCGCTGGCATCAAGTGTATTTATTTTCCAAATGGTACTGCCAAAACCCCGACATGCGTAGCTATTCAGCCGGTTGACGCCGTAGAGAAAACTTGAATTTGTCAAGAGCGAACAAATTATTTCAAATCCGCCACGCACTTTTATTCGAGGAAACATACTGTACAACCGTCGCATTCCCAGTTTTCACGCAGTTTGGAGTTTCTCTTTTCTTGACTCGCATATATTTTCCTTCCAAATCGTACTGCTAAAACTTGTCAAAGATAAAAGGGTTGAAATCGAAAATCCACGCCGTAGAACCGCACAAAATTTCATTCATCTGACAGTGTATTCATCGCGAACGAAGAAGTTGCAATTTCATTGTTCTGTACTCGACATCGGATTGGCTCAATTCGGCAAAAATGTTGGAATGTATTGTTCCCGTTCTGCCCTGTGACCTTTGTCTGGGTGGCCCCGGTTACAGTAGTTTGACTGTAAAATCAGTGAGAGCGCTACTGTTATGGCTTTGAGTAAAATGTTTATTTATTTATTTATTTATTTAATTATTTATTTATTTATTTATTATTTAATTATTTACAATTACAAAACACTGTACATGTCAAGTTAAGAAATAACTACAAGTACGAGGCAAAGCAAGTCAAGCAAAGCGTATGTTTCGCAAAAGCATAATTTTAAATTAAAATTTGATTAAATTAAAATTATTTCAAATTTTAATTTGAAATAATACATTTGCGTCAATCATGGTTGCCATAACGAGTTGTGATTTGTTTCTCTTACTAACAACTATCGCCTGGAACTCCATAAATGACTGGCTTATTGTCTCAACAATTCGGTTTGAAAGAAACAGACACAACTTAATTTCTCTACACATTTGAAAACAATGAACTATTCCAGTTCGGTTGAATGTGTACACTAAATGCAAATTTAAATTGATGAATTGAATTACTGCCAGCTACACATACAATGATCAAGTCCTTCTTCCTAGCTCCGCTGTATTTCTTTTATCAAAAGCGTTTACCTATAGGAATAAACATACATCGGATTGGCGACCATTGGCCAGGCTTCCCAAACTAACAGAGAAATTGATCGAAATTACATGTAATTCTTGGTTTGCAACTGACGTCATCGCCGCCATGTTGGATGACCATTAACAAAAGAATTCTAATTAGCTTTATTGTTCCTGTCATCCAACATGGCCGCCAGGGTCTTTGTCGTTTAACTCTCTCGGGAATGGTTGCAAACCAGCAATAGGATATAATCTACTTGATGGATTGATTATCGCCTCTGATCTTGAGGGATAGCACTGCATGCACAATGACTGATTATGCGTATATAATATTCTCTTTGAATTCAAAATAGTCCTGGCGATTCACCTAAGAAACACTATAGACGAAACTTAACACTGACCTTTGGAAAACATCAGTAAGTTTTTCCGCCTTGAAGTCGAGGGAGAAAGCATTCCCTAACACAGGGAGATAAGTTAATCGCGGACCCGGCGGCATGTTCCTGAACTCGTACAGCACCATCAGGTAATGTAATATTAGCAGCAGAAGCAACAGCAGAAGAACATTTCCAAAACTGAGAGAATCGTAAATCGTGCCAAGCACCGACGCCATGTTGAGCAATTGTGGTATTTGAATCACTTTGGCGATATTGTTCCATAATATAAGTGGTTTTAAAAAAACACTATTGTGGTACATTTATGTTGCATAAATAATCATCCTGACTTTGTCACGCAACAACAACAAAAAATCATTGTAACACTTTATTGATCTTGTTCCCTTCCACTCGTACTCCGTGCCATTTCATCACTATGTCAAGGACACCCAAGGTCATGGGTAATCATGTAATGCATGTATGACCGCTGTGCATGATTTCCAAGGGTAATCATGTCAAGTTCGCGTGCTGTGCGTTGCTTGCCGCTAAGTAAACAATATCGGTGGCAGAAGCATTTTTTTTTCGTTGAATGTATAATAAAACAATTATTAGATTCGGTCTTTGTGATATCAGAATAATCAAGGTTTCGGTTAGTCTCCTACGCATCCGTTATTTGTGTCGTCACGCAACGCTTCTCCCCACACTGGGGAGAAGCGCTGCGTGACGACACAAATAACGGCTGCGTAGGAGACTAGGTTTCGGTAAGAGTTATCAGCCTTCGGCTTCGGCTGATAACTCTTACCGAGACCTTGATTATTCTGGATAACACAAAAACCTCATCCAATAATTGTTAATTATTCATCGAAAAGTTAGTCTCCTACGCAGCCGTTATTTGTGTCGTCACACAACGCTTCTTTGAGAAGCGACACAAATAACGGCTGCGTAGGAGACTATCGAAAAGTTGACGATATTTCAGTTGGTAATTTCGAGCGTAATGAGTCTACCTAGAGTTATAAAATACGAATGCAAAACTGAATCGTTAGCAGGATTAAAATATTATTGGGGTTTATTGGGTTGTGAAAGAGGCTGCTTAAAGTTACTTGAACCGGTTGGGTAGTGTTTGAAGCCAGGTCAAAGCTTACTATAACAAAACGTTTTTACGGCACTGCGCGACTATGGGAAGAATTAGAAATTTCAGCGAGGGCATTGTCAAACGGACGGATAAACGGACTTTCAGTTTGACGGAGGAAGCTTGGCAGAGCACAGGCTCGCTGCGCACTCGTTACTGACGTTACTATTGCCGAGGTACTGGTCCGTTGTTTCGTTGTCTGTTGGCAGAGTTCGCAGTGAAGACTGCCGCTAGAAACTGGAATTCCTTCTTTATTGTTGTTGATTAAACCTCGTAGTTTACACAGAGTACTTGTAGGTGGCTAAAGGTAACTCAGCGCACAGTAACTCGGAAGATGTAAAGTACAAGCCTGCTTATATATGCTTACTGCTGTAATTTACAGTGCGATAATTAACAAAAGGTGATTCCACAACCTAAATTAGTTTTATAGTAAAATAAACAGATAAGTCAGCTTCTATCAACAGCGATCTCTAGCAAAGAAATAAATCTAGTAATAAATGTGAAGATGGTAAATGTTAATCTCGGGGTGTAAGTAATGGTATTCAGTTTATCACGAGCGTGGGACAAAGAAAAAAATCTGAATCCCCGACAGGATTTGAACCAATGCATGACCTTTCGTAAATAAATGTGAAGATGACCGAGCTAACATTTACCATCTTTGCATTTATTACTACACATGACACTTTAGACATTGCTGATCCTAGCAGTATGCAGGACGCGTGTCATATATGAACCTAGTATATGACCGCTCACCACATGAGATACTCTGTAGCTCAGTGGTTAGAGCATCCGACCTGTGTTACGGAAGGTTATGGGTTCAAATCCTGTCGGGGACTCAGATTTTTTTCTTTGTCCCACGCTCGTGACAAACTGAATACAGTTACTTACTACTTTAAATCTTCCGTTCAAGAGAAGTTCCAGGATATTGCTGATATTGCTCAAAATGTATGTAAATAATGGTGGTGTTAATTGGGAATGCGCTTACTTCGCAATTTCAGCAGCAATATATGAGCATTTACATCACCGAACAGAATAGAACAACCATCAACTGTGCGTAAGGCATTAAAGATAAATTATTTTTTACGTTAATTATGTTACGGGACAGATTTGGAAATGAATTGGAACCAAGGCTTGTGGTTGGCAAGTGGTTTATTCTTGGAAGTTTTCGTCTAGCTTTACAAGTGTGCTCGAAGGCGTAGTTGAGAGTGAGTTGAGAGTGAGTCGAGAGTGAGTTGAGAGTTACAGAGTAGTCCTATTTATATTAGTTCAACAACTTAATTACTTTTTCTTGTAAATTAATAGTATACTTATGCAGAATTTAGGTGTTTCAAGATGTGCAAATATCTAGGAACAAAGAAAACCGAAATGAAGTAAGGTTTGTTTGATCGTGCAAAAATTTGCAAAACTGCAAATTTCTTTAAGAGTTGTACTCCGAAACCAGAAAACAACTCGCTAGATCGTGAGCTAGTAACTTAACCTTAGTTTCTGTCGGAAAAGATCTTAGTTTTCTGTCGAAGAACTAAGTAAGATCTTGCTGAGTGTAACTCAACTGCAAGTAAATAATCTTTGAGGTGCCAACTTGCTTGGGCGAACCTAGCTTTCAATTAGGTTCGTGAAATTCATCATTATGCAAGTTTTGGCTGAAACTGACGTGTGAGCGAACGTGCGCTCTAAGTAAATGTTCGCGTTAAAGGGACACTGTCCCGGCGTATTTGCTCAAAACAGTTATAAATGCACGAAATGGTCCCTAAATGTATGGAATAAGAACTTAATAAACTCTAACTAAATGATAAAAAGCAATTTCTTCAAGAAATTCCATACTGCAACAAAATGTTTGCAAAATTTCAAAGATTTCCGAGCCAAACTTGAAACTTTGAAAAACTGACATCCTGACGTTTTTTCAAAAATCCATATTGCAATCCATTTCCATCCTCGCTGTCGTTAGTCATCCTCACTGACTAATGGGTTCCTGTCATTTGCCGAGTGCTATTCTACAGAATCAAACCATTATTGTTCAACTTCCTACTGATCTAGATATGTTTCTGAGCTTCCCAAAATCATGCTAAAATCAGGACAGTGTCCCTTTAAGGAGGATTACTTCTTTTCCGATCTCACAGCTGGAAACACCTTCTAAGGAAGCTCCTAAGGAAGCAATAAGTTTTCCAATAAAGGAGTATGTTTATGAGATCAAATAAATATTTTTATCGTAACTCTAAACGTTTCCTTAGAAATCAGCTTCAAAGTTTCTGAGATAAGCACTGCGCAACCTTTATAATTTTTGAGTTGAAAGACAAAAGAGGTCGGTGCAAGGATTTCTTTGATAAGTAAAGAGCTAGGTTTCATTTTAGTTCGTTGATCTAAAAGTGTAACGATCAGCTGTCGGAGTTACTTTGGAAATAGTTTGTTATCGCCGTGCGGTTCTCACTTAGCTCAGCAGTATATACAAATCTATCTTATTTCCGCGAATGAGTAAATACTAGCTCTGAGTTTTAAAAACTTATTTCAAGAAATCTTGCGAAGCCGACCTAAAACACGTATATGTATATATCTACATATATCTGTGTTCATCCAATATAATTTGTGAATATATATAGTATCCTACCTTATAGCGTAGGGAAAAACCGAAGAGAAGACGCGATCAATACAAGTCAAATGAGACCGAATTAGGTTGTTTGTTTACGACTGTAGTCCGTGTGTACTCTATCAGATGTTGATCTAGTGCGCTCAAAATAAACATGGAAAAGAGTTCTTTGTTTGTCAGAAAACTGGACAACCTTAATTTTAGATTGATCGTCTTGTTCTTCTTGTCAGTCTTTATACATGGAAAGCGAATAAATATTTGGCAAAGCTTCTCAAAGCGGCTTTATAGCGGATCGATATTTTGTTTTATTTGTTTTCTATTTCCTGAATTATGGGCGCATGTGTGTATAAGCGTCCGAATCACTGTGAATAAATATTTTAGCGAACAGCGAAAGCGAAAAGCGAATATAGTATTAAATGTACGCCTACAATTACGTACAATAATACTCCGTTACAAACTCTCGCAATATTCCTTTATGATTATTCTAAGTTTAACATCATCCTAGTTGCTTATTTATTATTAAAAGGGGCCTGCAGTACAAACAGCAAAATCATAATCTTACTCTACATTTCCTGGGAAAGATGTTCTACGTTTACAATTGTTGATTATAAGAGGAAATGATAACGATAAATTGCAAATATCGAATTGGAAAAACTGCGAACATGTTACCTCACTTTCGCTTAATTGCACGTATCTTGTAAGGAGCTGGAAACTGTGTACCGCTAAAAACTCCCCTCAAGCTTGGAGGATGACCTTCTTCTTCAGCAACAAAAGTAAACTTCTGAAGCATCCACGACAGGAACATGAACAGCTCAACTTTAGCCAGTGGCTCGCCGGCGCAGAACCGGCGTCCAGCTCCAAAAGGGTAGAAATTGCCCTGGTTGGTGATCAACTTGCCGTCTTCGTCAATATGACGGTACGGGTTAAACACGGTGGGGTTTTCCCAGCATTTGGGATCCATGTGAACAGATTCCGTGTCAGCAAACACGATGGTACCTTTGGGAACACGGTAGCCACAGAGTGTCGTATCTGTTAGGGTGAAATGGGGCAATGCAAGAGGCGCCACGTTTCCAACGCGAAGCGTTTCTATAATGGTCGCGTGAATGAGAGGCAGATTGGGTCGGTCGTGCAAAGACGGATTCCGTCCGTCAAATATTTCATCTAATTGGCGTTGAATATCCTCCTGGTACTTTGGATAGTTGACCAAAAAGGCTATCGCCCACTTCATTGTGGTGCTTGTAGTTTCGTAGCCGGCGATAAACATATCTTCGATGGTGTTGACCAAGTAGTCATCGGAAAGAAAAGCGGCAATCTCTTCGTCATTCTCGCATTCGGCTTCATGTTTGGCGTGTAGGAGACCCGAGATCAAATCTTGTACAGGTTCTTCTGGATCGAAATTCTTTTCTCTATCTCTCAGGAATATGCGAATGATATCGAACATCTTAAAGAACGGCTGGATAAAGCGATCATAAGCCTTAATGGGTAGATACTTTGCTAATGGAAAGAAATCTAAGATGGTGACCAACTGAGCAGTAGCAGTATCTGCTACAACGTCTACGTTCAGTTTCAAAAGCTTGTTCAAATCTGGGTTTGTTGTGTCATAGCCTTCTCCAAACGTGATTCCACAAATGACATCAGCAACGCTACGCTGCAAACAATCTCCGGGATCAAAAGGTTTTCCATCTTGTTCTTCCATGAACCGCACCAGTTTCTCGGCCTGTGTTGAGACTCGCCCTTCTATCAGAGGAATGTCCGAGAGGTACTGGCGTAAGGCTGTTGTGAAGAGTTTGCGATGAAATTTCCAAGCAGGGCCATAGTTGCCGAATGCGATATCTTTACCGCCTGTAATTGAAAATGAAGAGTTAGTTTGAAACTGAATGATTGCACTAGTAATTATACTTTTTAGTATGATAATTCCCTGATAATACTAGCGAGGTCCGATATTTCAAAATGATGCATGATGTATGTGTGTATTATTTGTAATATTAATAATCTGAGTCTACAAATGGCAACAATTCATTGAATCATTTTGCCTTTTGAACAAAGCTGCCACTTCCCCTATACCTCGCGTACAATGCTAATGTTTGCCTATACAGTGAAGTCATAGGGTGGTTACGGTGTGTAAAATAAAAATAAGTTCCTATAATAATATCACAACATACGTTTTGGATGATACCATTTTGCGACTGCTATTTTTAGGAAAACCAATGACAACAGTTTTTAGGTAGTCAATTCAAATATTACATGATTTACTACTCTGCATAAAAACTGTTGTCACAAAAGCCGAACCCTCATTGCATTCTGTCATTTAATGTTGCCTTCAAAGTTCCAATTCATCTCTACATCTCTTTCAAAACTGCAATTATTAGACCGCCGAAAAGTAGAGTGACAACAAAAGTTATGTGGCATAACTTATTAGTGGCGAATTACTGAATATTTGGTGAGGTGTTTAACAGTCAAAGATTGAATGTTTTGGTAAAACGTCCATCACCCCAACAAATATGACAATCAGAAATCAACACATTAAGTACAGAAAATATGGTTGTAGCGACTACAAAAGGGCACTTGGCTTCCTTGGTAGAAGAAACCCACTCTAAAATCTGACACCACTAACCTACCTAGTGTTCCTACTTCAACAGAATACGTTTGCTGTCTTCCGGCATAATCAGCAGATTTCTTTACGAGCATCTCTTTAACGGCCTCAGGTGTTGATGCCATAACGAATTTGTAGCTTCCCAGTTTCAGAGAGAGAACTCGTCCGTAGTTTTCTCTGAGACTACAAAGTAACACAAACGTAATCAGTAGTTATAATCAAAGCGTCTGAACAATTATTTTCTACACAAAGTAATTTGGAGGCAGACCGAGCAGAAAAGCCGAGAGAAAAACACCAGAATCGGATTCGGAACATAATCGAACGATATATGTTCGATTAATTCGAAATCGAACTCACAAAAACAAAACAAAAACAAAAAATTCCGTGTTCTATTTTGTTCGATGGCCGAACACAATCGAACTTGAACGATTGAGTTCGATTCAAATTTTGATACTTAGATTAGGATAATTGGACAATTTTGATAATTAGGTACGCTGGATCATGTATCTTATGGGGGCCCTCAGCCGATACATCGTGTTTTATAATATACTCACCACAGGATGTTGCAATTAAATTACCGGGGAGAAAGAGAAGAAAAAAAAGTGAAAAACACGACTTTGCAGTAGCAATGGTACATTGCCTCATATGCCTCAGATTGTCCAAAA